AGAGAGAGAGAGAGAGAGAGAGAGAGAGGAGAGAGAGAGAGAGAGAGGAGAGATGGGTGGGGAGGAAGGTGAGAAGGTTCAGGAACAGGGGAGAGCAAAAGAAGAAAGGAATGTGAGCTCCAAATCCTCTGTGCTTAGAGGCTGAGAGTGGATTTCAGTAAGAAATGAAATATCAGGAACCTTTTAATTAGAAAATGGAAGTGGGAAACAGGCTCATCTGAATGCCTGTTTAGAAAACTGGAAATAAAAAGTTTCACGTGCAAGAGCTTAAACCTGGGGGGAAAAAGATTTGCCCCAAATCTTTAACAACCACCCCCCTCAGTATCAAGTATTTGTTAAATTGACATGGCACAGATTTCTCGATTACAAGGGCAAAGCGGAACTGAAAGGCATCGTAAAATCCATCAGAATCCTGCCCAAAGCGTTCATTCTTTTCCAACTTAATTTATGCCATGCAATTCTGTATTGGGGAAATCAAGCAGAAAGCCCTTTTCTTGTCCTTCCTCCTCCTGCTCTTCTTTCCTCTACTTTTTTCTTCCTCTTCTCTCTCCATCTTCTTCTCCTTCTCCCCCCCCCCCACTTTGGTCCCTCTCCCCCTCTCCCTTTCAAAGCTGAGCTAACGGGAGACTGTTTAACTTCAGTGTTTCTATAGGAGTCTGTTGTAGTTTAACTCCTGCACACCAGTAGCTGAGATGAACAAAGGAGAGACTCGAGGTCCAACTATTCATCCTTTCTTTGCACTTTAATTTTCATTGATTGGGAAGACAAGGGGAGCCCTTAGGGATTCAGGCTGAAGGGGGATGACACGCCTTTAGACGCCATCAGCCCCCTAGCCAGCCATCTGCTCCGAACCAAATGGCGTTTTTTCACTCCCTAACTGCATGTCTGTATACTCCCGCAACTAAGCGCTCTGAACCCCCTAAATGCAGGAGGGAGCTTAAGCTAGAGTGTGTTAAATAGACTTGCCTCCGTGTTGGCTGTAGCAGCCAGATTCCCTCCTCCCTACACACCATAAATCCTCACCTTGCTCATTAGGAAAAAGCAGGAAACTTTCTTTTAAATACTTTTTGATGTCTCAGCAAATATACTGTACAAAGTGAGGCTCATTAGGGCTTAGAAGGCACCCAATATATCAGACATAGGAGTGGAGAGAGGGATTTGTCGCCTGGTGTTGGTGTTTTATTTTTGCCAGGCGTGCAGAGCTCGTAGCCTGAATGACCCAGTGCCCAGAGAAGCCTCGGTTGTGTAATCAGAAGCGTGGCCACAACAGCTACAGCTGAGTTCTCTGTTTGCTGGAGACCCTGATTATTTTATCCACCCTTTTATTAGGCCATGTAGGAATAAAAACACACAGCCATCACCTTATCAGATGAAATACGCCCATTCTCAGCAGTGAGTGTGACCTGCTCCTGTGGCCACCCAAGCCCGTTTCCACCCTCTTTGCCCAAAGAAAGGTTGTGTTCCTGAGGTATGTGCGTGGTGGAGGTTGTGGCTGGGGGGAGGGGGGTCTGGGCAGATTGCAGTAAACAATGGCCAGAATAGGCTCCAGACTCTAAGCCGGCCCCAGGTTCAGTTTTCTGTGTAAACAAGTCTGGAGACTTGAGTGGGGTTTGTGTTTTCGTAGCCCAACTGAACACTGTACGCCCAACAGAGAGGTCCTCTTATTCCTGAGAAGAATTAAGGTCCTTGTTCAGAACAAGAAAATAAGAAACTTCCAGGCAGCAAGTCTGGTGTTGATCAAACACGCCAGCTTACTTGAAAAAGAAGAAGGGACCCTGGAGCAAGCTTATTAATTGGTGTTAGTGTCACATCTCCCACCAACACATCGGTCTGCCCGTTCTCCATTGGTCACAGATTTGGGATCCCGCAGCGAGTGAAGTGGTAGGGAACTGGCCCACTTGCTGTGCATATCGGAAGCTCTTAACAGACACCTGCGGATAAAACCCCACTGGTACGGCTGGCTATTAGGGGTATTTCCTTACTTCTTAAGGACTGAACCCCAGAGGAACATTTACAAGACACACTGACTCGAATGAATACACGGTGTGTCAGCACCTGATTAAGTTCTGTACGGATCGCTCTATGGAAGATACATGCTAACCCCAAGCCGTCCACTCGTCCACGGC